CTTGTCTTTGTGCTGTTTGCAGTTAAATGATTTTCAAATCAGTGAATTCTGTTAATATTTGCAGTTTACAGTCTACATAAACATTAAGTGGTTACATAAACATTAATGCACCGTTTTCCTTGTCAACAGTGTAAGTGCATATGGTGAACAGTGGAAGACTGTATTTGTCAAAGAAAGGTGAACTAAAATGTCCTCCCCTGTGTGTGTGATCATATATAACAGAGTGATAATGATACTGTTGTATATAAAGAAACTAGAAACAACCTCAAGCTGAGAACATGAATAAAGCATGATGTACATCGTGTGTCTTAAGTTGATCCATCCACATTTGTCTTATTTCGGATTAATCTGTTTGTAAGAGATTATTCATCCCTCAGCCGTAAATGACTGATGGGGTGTTGTCATCAACCCAAATCCAAGTCGAGAAAGATGCAACGGAAAGCTCGATTGATACCATCTACTAAACATATCAGACGAGTTCAAATTTCAGTGACTTCAACTTTTAGATGAAGGTTGAAGGTCGAGTTTTTCAAAGATCTTCAGTATGTGGTAACTCAAAAAAGAAGTCATCTATGATTTGGAACTTGATGACACAGGTGTGTCTACTCGGATACACACACATACATACCTGACAGACTGCCTCAGAGTAGGTGAGAAGGAGGGAGTCCACAGAAGAAGTTCAGCATTTATTAAATTATTTAGTAGAAGAGAGAAACTGAAAAGTTAATTTGAGCCATCTTTTATTGTGTGGAGGACAGAGGTGAAGTGCATTAGCCACCTAGCCTGCAGTAACAGCTGGAGTAACAGCTGGCTGTTTGAAGGGTCGACACACGCCACCTTCTTAAAATGGCAATGGAAATTAACCTGCAATATTAAACTCTCCATTTATTAGATACGCCGTTCCTCTGCAGATGATCTGTTAGCTGTGTGACAACGACTCTTTCAAGGAGGTTTGATATAAAGGAAGGTTGGAGATCGGCCTGTAATTAGCTAAGACTGCTGGGTCTACAGATTTTATGGTGTCTTGTAGTTGTTGTCCTAAAGGAATGGTTCAAATATTTTTAGTAATAAAGTACTATAAATATAACTGTAATAGTAATTCAAGGGCAGAAAAGTTCAGCTGTGCATTGCAGACAAGCAGCACAGTTGGTATGTTTTGATTCCGCTTATATCCAAAATTGAGAATTTTTTATTCTCTAAAGAAGTCACGTTTCCCTTAAAGAAACATCAAACTGCACAGGAATCAGTCTGTGGGTAGTTATTCCTATTAGAAAGACGTAATTCCAGTTTTTGGATCCCA